AAAATTATTACAGAATTTCACGAAAGTTTAATTGGAGGACATAAGGGAGTTACCAAACCATATCGCAGAATCCGTGAAAGATTTTATTGGCCAAATTTACGCAATGATGTTCAAAATTTTATTCGTACTTGTAATAATTGCCAAAATCAAAAACTAGTTCGAACAAAAACCAGAGAATCAATGCTCATAACTGATACACCTATAGAACCATTCGTTAAGGTATCATTGGACACTGTAGGACCTTTACCTCTTACTTCTAGTGGTAATAAACATATTATTACTGTTAACGCAGCTTCCCGAGCTTCTTTGTGGTTGGAAGGTCGGGTTGGCGTTGGTAATTATTGCACGTGTATGTGCCAACTACTTATTGTCACGATGGTGATCGCGCTTTATTTGTTATGACGATTATTGCGGACTGGACCGCACTGGTGTATCAAGAACGTCGAGTATTGCGTGTTAGAGCGCTCAAAGTGGTGTCGATTGCTTTTAAGTATATTAGAATCTGCTCGAATGTCGTGAACTGGCTGTATATATCTCTATTCGCCAAAATGAGGAGTTTATCTTGTTGGCAAATCATGGGCCTTTCACCCCCTAGAGCCGCTCTCCTAGGCCCTCGTGCACTCCCCCGTGGTCCGCAGAGTAGGGCGGGGGCAGAGAGGGAGAGACGGTCCCAAACGGGGGTGTCAGCCCCGCGTGGCGATTTTGCCGAAACGTCGACTTTACAGGTTACTGAGCGCGCAGAGGCAAGTACCGGCTTACCATGTGGCCCGCAGAAGTGGAGAATTTCCGCGGCCATCAGGTAATAAGCCGGATTTGCTCTCTGGCTTGAATAGGCTATTGTTATCAAAAACTTGTAGAAAAACTTCTCAAAAGTAACGTCGCTTGGAATCCGTGCCATAAACCTCTGTTGATTAAACACTTACAATGCAAAACAATTTGACGGAATACTGGATAGCGATACCGGTACCGGACATAAAAGCAGAAACCATAGCACGTGCAATAGTAACCAATTTAATATTGCAATATGGCACTCCACGAATATTTTTAACTGATCGAGGCACTACCTCTATAAATAAAATAATTCATTATATAGCGAAAATTTGTAAAATTCGTCATGTCACCACCTTAGGATATAGACCTCAAACAAATGGTGCATTAGAAAGAAGTCACATTGTATACTGCCCCCCTTACTATGCGTTTAATAGTATGCGTTCAATACTGAAACTATTTCTACAGGCACCAACTTTATAATATTCATAGACCAGTCCTACTGTTGTGATATTTCGTTTCGTATATTTTAACCTATACAGCGCAATTTGCGTGTAACTATGTGTACAATGCTTTGCTTAGAGGTGACAGAAGATTCTTGTTTTGCTGTCATTTGAAAAATGTTCTAATCTTAGTAATGATCTTTGGAATTTATTTTAAGATAAATAATATTGCATATATTGAAATGTCACACTGGCAGAGACAATCAAAACGAAATACTAGCAATTAAAAATATTAAAAAAATAGGTATTTATAATAAATTGAAAAACAATGTAATTATTCAATGCTCAATTTGCATGAGTAGCTTTACAAAACATTTGTCCCAGCCAATTGTGTACATTAGAGTACAGAGTCGTTCTAAATAGGGCAGACAATGTGACCTTATATTCTGTTGATTATATAAACAACTATGAAACTATTTAAACTGTGTTAAAATCATTGTCGCATGTCATCAGTATAGTGATAGTGAATCAATTTAATATTGTAAGTATTAGAGTAACATATGAAATGAAAAACAAACTTTGAAACAAAGAACTATGAAAAATAAAACTCTGAAACTATTAACGAAAAATAAACACGAAAATAAACTGTCTGTCGCGTCCATGTCATAAACTAACCTTCGAGAATCTTTAATTACGGTGTTCCGTATCGGACGGAACACATTGTTCTAACTGAATATATTAGTCATTATATAAATAATTTTGACGATTGGAATCGATTAGTACCCTTTGCAATGTTTTCTTATAATACATCCGTACACGAAGCTATTAATTTTACACCATTTGAATTAGTGTTTGGCAGCCTTGCACGATGTCCAAGTTCTTTTCCGATAGAAGAAAATTTACCTACGTACAATTCATACCTTCACGACCTAATAACGCGTCTTTCCGAAATGCAAATGATCGCAGGACAAAATTTAGTTCAGGCAAAAGAAAAATCAAAAATCCGTTACGATAAAAAGGCACGTCAATTTGGAGGTGGAATAAGGGATATAGCACGCGTACTCGTTGAACCTAGAAAGGGAAAATTCGGTAAGCGTTATCATAGACCACACAGAATTGTCGGAAATATGGATAGGAATAATATTGTATTGGAAGGAAATAACGGGAAATTATTTACCAAACGCGCAGATAAATTGGAACTGGTACATCTGGCCTAACTACTGGTAAAGAGGAGAAAATGGGAATTCGGCTTGTTTGGATACTACTGCTACTATTATCGATCACAAGTTCAAATAGTTTTGATTGGCGCATAGCATTAGTTGTAGACACTAATAAACTAGAGAATGAGTTCCGCAAGAATATCTAAATTTCGACGATATCGTGTATTATACAGTGTAATGTATTCGATTTCCAGTTAAGCTTGAATGTAGCGCTATTCTAAGAACACATTATCTGAAAGAAAAAATTAAGGGAGCCTTAGAAATACAAACGGAAGTAAAAAATTTGGTTGTAGACCATGGTAACGACGGAACAATTTTGGACAATCTTCCAAAGACAATAGTACGCCGTAATGTTTCGTTTGGTTTCATCAACAGTTAGTCGAATGTTATTCGGAACCCTAAGTACGGATGACGCTGAATACTTTAATTCAGAAATAGATAAATTATACGCCGATCAGAAGGAAATTACACAACTCGCCAGGAATCAAACGCACATAGTTATGAGTGATCTTAATAACATACATAAAGTAATCAAAGAAATTTCGCGTAACATTAAAATTAATAGAGATAAAATTAACGAAATGGTACACATTTTGAATGAAGATCATTTATTAAATTATACTATGATGTTAAGTCAATATGCAAATTCAGTTGAAAATTCGCTAAATCATTATATCACAGCTGCACAAAATTTCGTATCAGTAATCACCGTAGCACAGGACGGAAGACTACACCTATCACTACTCAGTAGTTAGAAAATAAAGGCCATAATAAGCGAAATTCATAGCTCGGTAGCACATTATGAAATACCAATACCAAGGAATTACCAAAGGATCGAAGAATTTATGAAAATAGCTTATGCAACCTTGGGACATCATACTGTGAAAATTATCATCACCATACATATCCCACTAGTTGACCGTACAGAATATCATTTATATCGACTTCATGCATTGCCAATACCACAACGTGTAAATGTAGGTTCTAATATTTCGGCTTTTATATCTCCTCGATATCCATATTTAGGACTAAGTAACGATCATAGTATTTATTTTGAAACAACCGAAGCCTTTTTAAGTTCTTGTAAGGAAACCTATTACCAATTTAGAAATATCTTTGTACGAAGCATCGGTATCGGAATCGTGCGAAATATCTCTACTAATAAGGCCAAACAAATTGTCACTTCAATTTTGTAATATTAAGCTTAAATTATCTCACGAATCTTACTGGATTAGATTAAAAACTATTAGAGCATGGTTATACTCAATTAAATAACCCGAAACGCTACATATCTTATGTGAAGATAAAGAAGATACACTACTTACAATCCACGGAACGGGAATGTTGGATATCGAACCGACCTGTCTAGCAAAAACACGCTCTACAATATTGATGGGAACTAAAACATTTACCACTATGAAGCAGTTTTATTATAATCCAAATCTTCTTCTTGATATTAATGAAATCTCTCCGAAAATTTTACAATATCATCACATTGAAACAATTCAAAATATGGACTCGCAACCAACGAAACAATATTCAGCGATCGACAACCGAGAAGTCTCGCGTACGCATTTGTTCGATCGCGCACGGATGAGTCTCTGTTCTTCGTCCCTGAGCGCGGGCTCTACGCGCGCTGTGATTGGCCAGTGTTTTTCGTTAATAATTCAAAAACGAAGCTTCAAATAACATTTTGGTAAAGGAAAAAGTTGTTCAGAGTCACCCCAGCAACCCCCCATTTCCGGGTGTTCGAGGAGTTACGGGACACCCTGTATGTAATTTCATATTTATATTTAGTTCTAATTTTACCCACTATTAATGTTGTAATCTTATTCTATGCCAAATCGGTAACGTTGAAAGCGATACGAAAATGGTAAGGGGGCTCTAAGACCCCCATCGCGACAAAAAAATGCATTGGGTAATGGATCTATTCTATACTTTGTCTGCGGTAATATAAAACGACACGGAAATTCACGAAATAGTAGACGTAGTGGACCATGTGTGATATAAACGAACGCAAAAATAAGTGTCTGCCTAATAATTAAAATGATTACATGAGAATTATGTTGTATATAACTGTAGTTAATATCTCATGTAATACACAAATTATTATAAGATTTGTATTTTTTCTGTGCACCACTAATAATAAATCTTCAATGAAAATGATATGCAAAAATGGTAGTTAAAAAGCAGGTGTAACACAATTAAATAATGTAGTCAATGTTAACATTAGTAAAAAAAAATACATTTGATTCAATTCGATAATAGGCAATAATAGTTAACCTATAAACTACTCGATTTTGGAGGTAGCCATGTTAAATTGGGACGTTTCGATTGCGTAGTAAGCTTGAAATTTATCTCGAAACAAGTTCGCCATTGTCAGTACGACGGGAATGCGTGCTTTATAGGGCTAAGTTTCTAATTCTTTTTAATTTTTTGAGCAAACTGTATAAATATAAAAGGATGTCAGCCGCGTACAATCAGTAAATGATACATTGTTAGATTTATATAAGTTTTTTTGTAACAATGGGCTCTAAATAAAATTAGTGTATGAGGTGAGCGAATTTCGGCTTCTTTCACACCATACGTTGTGGATAGAAGGATCGTAGTGTTCAAGAAATATTAGTCCTCGTCTGAATTTAAAAAATCTAACAGCTGAGTAAAAGGAGTTTAAAATTATCTATTAGTAAAACGTAACACACTGATTAAATAGTACAGTTTCTAAAATGTATTGTGTACGGTCCATTCAACTTTTTCAATCACTATTTGGCTTAAGAACAGTGATAACAGCACAAAAAAAAAGGTTTGATTTACTTGAAGGTGTATTCTTATGTTCTTATGAATTTATTTGGTGCAAAAATTAAGCATGAATGTTTTTTTAGCACAAGTATCATGTATTATCTTTATTTCGATAATTTTAATTGCATAATATACGATTATTGAATTTTTGAATTATTAAGTTATCTTTGATTTTGATTATTTTATTGTATATGGAGATATTTTTTTTTCCATTAGACTCAACTAGTATAAATGAATCATTTCTCTTATTCTTATATTATGAATTTGTTTTGTATACTTTGCAGAGTCCTTAACAGTTTTTGGATGTCTAAATATGCCAGGATGTGCAGCAGTTGGCTGCAACAATCGTAGTGAAAAGGGTTATCTTATGAAATGCTTTCCACGTGATCCAAAATTAAGACAAATTTGGCAAGAACGTGTTGCTAGAGCTGATTGGGAACCATCAAATAACTCTTTTCTTTGTCACGTACATTTTGAACCACAAGAATGGTCCATAACACAAAGTGGAAGAATTAGATTGAGAAAAGATGCAGTTCCATCTATATTCACTGTAACATCCACTAGAAAGTCACCCAAGAAGAGAACAAAGATATTTGATAATAAAGTGGTAAACATATTGCAAGATAAACATAATATAGAGTATATGGAAAATGATACTGAGCATTCGTCTATAGAATATTTAGAAGACCAAGACTTAGATGTTCAAGAAATTGAAGAGCCACCTGCTCGATATATTAAAGGAAACTTAAAAGATACTCATAAATCTATGGAGAAAGCAGAAAGAAGAAATATTAAGATTGATCGTCAAGGAGAAAGTATTGAGATGATGGCTGAGGATAATCTTGCTGATATTAGTAGTCTAGTGAAGCAATGTAATTTTGAAGTTGAATCAAATGATAACAAAAATGAAGTTAGTTTATCCTTAATGATTAATAATTCAGAAGTCACTCAAGTGCCAAGTACAATTGTGAAAGAAGAAATCAAGTTGGAAGTTATGGATCACAATACATTTGAGGATAGTTATGATGAAATTGAAGAAAAGTTGAAACAGATTTGTGATGGTGGATCCACTGAAGATGAGAACTATAAAAAAGAGGGGAAAGAGAAGTTGATTATTAAAAATCAAAAAGTAGATGAAGAAGAAGAAAAAATGGATACAAATTCTGAATTTATTAATGATGCAAATAAAGTTACGTTGTCTACTAATACAAGTCTTGAGTTTTCAACAAAAAGTGAAATTGGACATGTTCTTACAGACAAACAAGAAAATGTTGAGATTATTTTTGGCACTGAAAGTGGAGATGAAAAGACATCTGTACCACACGTTACATCAAAGGTGAATAAAACAGATAACAATGCTTTGGTGTATGATGAAATAATGTGTATTAAAGATGAAAAGAAAGTTTTCAATGAAGATATAGAAGAAAATTTTACTAAGGATGAAGTGCATGTTATACCAAATATAAGAGCAGCTATGAAACGTAAAAGAAGGACAAGGGAAGAAATAATGAAATCGATAAAAAAATCAATTAAAAGCACTTCTGATCAAGACATTAATTCTTCAAGTAACAGTGACTTGTCTGAACAAGAAACAGAAATTAGAAAGGGATTATCTTTATTTTCTCACGAAACTAATGATAAGAAAAATGACATAGAAATGGAAACAGCCAAATTTGTCATCAAAGTAACTGGTGACCCTGATGATGTTACTGAAATTATCGAAGAATTATCATCTAATACAATAGGAACACAAGAACCTAATAAATGTAATACTCTTTCCAAAAATGAAGAGAGTGGTACATTTGTTACATCCATTATAACAGTACTGTCACCCAAAAATCCTAAAGAAATTGTTTACAGGGATATTAATAGTCCATTATTAAAAGATGATTATATAATTTCAAGTAAAAAAGTACCACTAGTAAATCATTCTTCTTGTGAAGAAAGAGAGTTTACAAGTTTAAACTTGATAAATAGTTCTAAAATATGTCATTCTACCTGTTTCAAACATACTTGTTCTGATGAAGAAAAACATCAAGTAAGGATTAATTCACCATTAGAAAATTGTGCACATGGTGTTCAAACCTCCTTGGAAAATAATACTAAATTTATTCCTTCCGATTATGAAGATCTGTTGGAAAGAATACAGATTCAAGAGGATGTTATTGCAAAGTTAACTGATCAGTTAATTACTTACAAGGAACTGGAAAATAGTAAGAAAAACAAAACAACTGAACATGAAATACGAACCAGAGAAATGGAAACACCTAGAATGAATACAAGATCAAGTAGTATGCAACCTTCCATTCTTAGGAGGAAAAATTTAGACTGTAAACAACGATTAATAGAAGATTTAACAGACAGAGTGAACTATTTTGAAGAAATGAACAAAAAGTTAATGAAGACAGTAACACTGGAATCTCAGCAGAAAAGAAAGCTTGAAGGTCAAATTAAACAAAAGGATAATCGAATAAAAGAGCTCAATTGGAAGTTAGAAAAAGCTTCTAAATATCTTGAAAGGGCAGAAAAAAACACAAACACTTATAGAAGGAAAATGATAAATATGCAGACTGTTATGAGAAGAAGAAAGCTTCTAGATGAAAAGATGAGCAAGTTTAATGAAATGTTAATAGATAGTTCTAAACAAGAATTTTCAGAAAAAGTTTTAGTTATGGCAGCAAATATCAGGAAAATTTGTGGAAGAAATGGATATGATAAATTACTTTCTTATGGTTTTCCATTACCACCATTACCAGCTTTAAGGAAAGGAATTCTCAATGAAGATATAGATCATAAAAGTGATGCAGATGAATTACAAAATTCTACAAAGATAAGTGTTAAAGCAGAAAAAGCACATGATACAAATAACGAATTTGAAATAGATGAAAAGGACACAGAACTTCCAGACTCAGTTGGTAAAGCAACTGAATATGAAGGTGCAGAAACTGTGACAGGAACTGTGCAAGACATTTTTGATGAAAATAATGATGGTGATGATTTTAGTACAAATGAACTAAGAGAACATTTCATTCTGCAATTAAATGCAGTTATGTAGCCATAATTTTGTACTTTAAGGACATCCTTTTTTTTTACCACTCAGAGACTGTAATATTAAAGTCATAAATACTTAGATAAGATTTCTTCCATCATTGTACAATACCAACCAGTGTGCTCTTAATAATTATATTTATTGTATAGTAACACTTAATATTCTCATTTTAAATGTAAATATATGTACAAACATTATTATATGTATAATGTAAAAAAAACCATTTTAATCAGTGTATTACAGTATTAAATCATTGTTCATAAATAACTTTCTACATAATGGTTTATCTTATGATATCATTATTCGATATTTTTTGCTTTTTCTAGCGATTTACATTTTAATAGTAAAATAGGAAAATCAGGTTTGCTATGAATTTATTTCAAAATGAATTCATTACTGTCAATAATATTACAATTCTTATGTATCAATAAAATGTTTTAAACCATATGTTGAATTTAATGAAATTATTTAAAAAGAAAACAGACAGTTAAATTAACTGCCCTATTAAAAACATAATAAAACTACAATATAATAATGCTTCTACATATTCAGTTTAAATACTGATTACTTAATGTGAATGTTACTCAAAATATTTGTACATCATTAAACAAGATTATTAATGTGTAAGTAATATGTTAGGAATATGGTAATAAATTATAAGAAGCTATCTCTTTTTTGTTTCATTGGGGTGTATACAAAATGAAAGATGATATAAAATGATTATATTTGATTACACATATGTGTATAGATATATACGTATTTTTTTTTTCTTTTAATACAATTTTTGTTAGAATAATTACAATCTAGTGGTAGACTTATTATTGACCTTCTTTTTTTCCTTTGATTTTCCATCCTTAGAACTAATTATTTTATCACATTCGCACCAAGGTGTATTTATTTTATCGCACATTAAAGAAATATTAAGGACGGTTAATGGAGTATCCCCAATAGTCATTTTAATTGTACCTAACATTTTGTAAGAAACATTATTTAAGCCAGTTTGACGGTCTCGTTTTCGAGTAACTTCACGTTGATTATAACATTTGATCATATCTCGTTTCCTATGATTCCTATCATGTACATGCCTAAAATTGACATAGGTAATTCAACAATTTCATTATTATTTCGCATGTATATTAAGTAATGCAAGGCATCTTACTTGAATGTGTTATGTGTTCCAGTAGATATGTTTTGTGGTCTTATAACTGTTAATCCAGCTTCTTTCAATCTAACATAAAACTCATCATCTTCAAGACCCCATCCCCAATATTTATTAGACATTCCATTTACTTGCATAAAATGTTCTCTGTAGAAATATTTTTTTCATTAGGTTGATCTATCCAATCTTTTTTGTATTTTGTGCCATAATAACTCTCATAATAAGAACCTTTTAATAAGTAATATTCCACCAACAAAAGTTGGGTAATGATATCTAGGATGTAGTTCTGGAGAAAATTTCAAGAAAGCCTACATTTATAAGAGAGGCTCTATTGAATCTAAACCTATCAACCTATTAAAACATAAAAAACTTCATTATTAAATTCAAATCATACTCTTAAATCTATTAGTGATCACATTGGTATAAGAAATACCTGATTAAGTATAAATATATGATAATTTATATTTTGTTTATCTAAAAATTTTTTCATATATGGAGCAAATATCAATAATTCTTCAAAACGATCTCGAAATGGCACAAGTATAGCTAAACGATGCAAAGATTTCGTATAAGCTTCATCATCATTATTCTCTTGTTTATGATAATTGTACTGACTTGACTGAGTAACTATTTCACATTTACATTCATCTAAAATTATAAAATTCTAAGATACTTTTTAAGCACTTAATAGTTCACTGTCAAAAACCATTAGAAACACTAAAAACTTACCAATACTTATAGGTGCAATATTTACCAAGCATGAAATGATAAATGTGATCAAAATGCAAGCAAATATATATTTAGATTTTATATTTTTCCAAACTTCCATGCCGAACAACAAATGTGTAAGTAGAATATCTTAAGTGTAAAAGTACACAAATTACTCATTGAACAGTATTACAAAGATTTATTGATGCAGCAACATTTTCTTATTTCAAGAAAATTAGTAAAATCTCGGTGCTTTTTGTTCTCTTTTTGAAATAAATTTAATTTAAATCGTATTGTCGTTAACATAGTCGAAAATTACCGCTGCATTGATTTGCGAAATGTAGGCTATCCATGATTTCACTCACGAAAGTTAGATAATTGCCATATACAAAAATTGTATTTTCACATACTTCTTTACAGATTATTCAAGTAAATAAATTAGTTGATTTTTATTTAATACAACTTTTCTTTGCTTGCCAAATATTCATCGGTCATTAGACCAAAAAGGAAAGGTTCTTTGCACAAAACACATATTTTCTAATTCATTATATTTAAAATTATGACACACATCGAAATTTAATTTGTACATTATCGATATTCAACGTAGCTCGTTTGAACTTACAAAAGACACTTATTCTATGGCACCAACAATAATTAAACATTTCATATTAATGGACAAATTGTGTCACTATTGCATTGTTTGCCTTATAGCATATAATACTATGATATACAGCGCTATTACGATTCTTAATAATTGAAACCAAAGAAGACCATACTACGTTTATATTTTTGGTTTAAATTAATTCTTTTATATTACAATTACCAAACAAGTATTTGTACTAATTCTTTCATGTAACATAACTTTATAGAACTGAAGAAAATTTGATCAAGTTTATAATAAAATATACATACAACATATTTAGTATTCTAAGTAGCTTATGATAAATTTTTATATTCAATTTATTTTTTCGTTATATTAACTTGTTATTATCTGCAATTTTTTAAATATGAAATAAGTGTACAAAATATGTTATAAAAAGACAAAGAAATTGTATTATGTAATTTACCTTTGCTTTCCCGCCAAAATAACAGTTTGGATGAATGACATTACTATAGTTTGCTAAAATGTATAGTAATACGAATGACGAGAATGGGTAAAACGTATAGTATGATACGTAGGTTTGCATAGTATTGGGTGATGGGTGTTGTCTTTCGTTTCAATTAATGTTTAGATGAAAGAAATATTAAAAATGTCATCCAAAAATTGTGCAAATATAATTTTAATATCCCTGAGTTTGTTCTGCTGTTTTATATATGGTATAAAAATTAATCTTTTACACTTTCAAATTGTTTATAACTATCGTATCACTTTCCGTATATCATAAACAATCATATCTTATGGTTTTTACACACGTGAAAGAACTTTTATTGTTAGTGAACTTTTTGAAATTCAAGTTAGCACTAACAATAATGTTTAAAACTGTTTACAGGACATTTACAGGACAAATTTAATGTTAACAATACTGTTACTTGGTGTACAATATCTGATGCTGAACAGGACAAATGTAATGCTTTTTCAAGAGCAGTTGATCGTGAGAAAGCATTTTTCGACTCTAATTACATTTCATTACAATGCAAACAAGCATCTAATAAAGAAGAATGCATGGCTCTGTTGGATCAAGAGAAAGCACATATAACCACTTTAGATGCTGGAGAAATTTTTATGGCAGGACGCTATCATAGTTTAATCCCATTTATGCAGGAAATATATGAAAGTGGTTTGAATTATCAATATGCAGTTGCAGTTATTAAAAAAGGGTTTTTGACAGATGTTCAAAATTTATATGATTTGAGGGGTAAAAAGGCTTGCTTTGCTGGACTTGGAATGCTCGCTGGTTGGATTATACCAATTCATACTGTAAATATAATTTATTTCATTTTATCTCTAAACAATGTATATTTAATTAAGTAAATGTTTCATTTCTGTGTTATGCAGCTCATGAAACAAGGTGGACTAGAAATTATTGATTGCAATAATCATGTGAAATCTGCTATTAAATACTTTGGGCCTAGCTGTGCTGTAAATTCATTGATAGATAAATATAATCCATTAGGTATAATTGATAATAGTGTTGTCTAATATAAATTTCATTAGTATTTTATATCTTTCAATAATTTCAAATTTCAGGGGACAATTCTGATCAATTATGCAAATTGTGTATTGGAAAACTACCTGGAGGAAGATGTACAACTTCAGATCCATATGCAGGATATGAAGGAGCATTTAGATGTTTGGTAGAGGCAGGAGAAATTGCCTTCTTAGTACATACAACTGTAAATGAAATGACATCAACAACATTTGACTTTAGTAGGCTTTTAATCCAATTTTTCAAATGAAAGATCAATTTGAATTACTTTGTCGAGATGGTACTCGCAAATCTATCGATGAATATACACATTGTAATTGGGGTAACGTTCCATCACGTGCTATAGTTACATCGTCAGCTACAAAAGTGGAGACTCGCCGATTGTATCAGCGATTTTTAGAAAAAGCAGTTCGAGTATTGAATAAACATAACTCACAGAATTCGACAGAGTTATATGACAATCGTTTTGAAAATCGACCAGGATTTAATTATAGATTTGGTGAAAATAGTTTCAACAAAAGTGAATATTTCAATTCTAATGAATATAACGCGGAGAATTTCGACAGTCGTAATGGATATGAGAAAAGGTACAATGGAAATGGGCTGAATTCATGGGACGAGAGTCATTCAACGAACATACAACCAATAGAAACGTTCAACTTATTTGAATCTGCACCTAGATATGGAATGCATCACAACTTAATTTTTTCTGTATATATGATTCATTTTTCTTTTTTAATACTATTAGTACTTAAATGAGATCTGTTTTATTTTTATTTTTATTTTAGGATTCAGCACGGGATTTCGTTCAATTGCCGGAGAAGGATCAAATGTACACTGGTTATTTAGGCAGATCTCTAGATCAAATATTAGGAGTCCGTCGTTGCCCCGTCAATAGAATGACTTTATGTATTACATCTGATCCAGAAATGGAAAAATGTATAAGAATGAAGGTAAGTATTTGAAAAATAAATATTATACCGTTATGAAAAATAATATTTAATGTTTTTACATATTAGATAGCATTGAAAGCACAATTATTGAAGCCGGAATTAAATTGTCATAAGGGTCACAGTCAGATTCATTGCATGCAGGCAATACGAAGTGGGTATGTATAGTGTGTAAAAAGAAAATGAAAAAAAAGTATTCTATTAAAAAGTATATACAGTAATATCTTTCACATTGTCGCTATTCGAGCTCCCTCACACTGTCGCCTAGCTGCTTCTACGCCTAGGCATACGCTATTGCTACGCCTATGTTATCTTTCTTGGAGTCAGTTAAGCATGCGAAGTGTGTAATGCGATGCGGTTCTTTTGATGAGAGTTCACGACTTGACAGTTCATAATACAATAATATAACTTTTTTAATTTTACTTTTTTCTAACTGAAAATTTGTTTACATATTGGTGAGATTTTTCTGATTAAAATGAGATCAAACGTGATATAATTTGGACCACATTGGCTTTCACATTATCCACGAAACCTAATCTCCCCATTCACAGTGTCGTTTCGGCCCTGTTCCTCCCTTCATATTGACGCTGCTGAAACCTAGTCCCTCCCTTCACGTTGTCGCTGTCACATGGACAGTGCCTTCACGTAGGCTGTGCCTTCAAATTTTCCAGGTACAACTTATAGTTGGGGCCACGATATAGCGAGGTCGTAAATTAAACTCTCAAAAATCGGCATCGATTGATGTTGCGGCACTCAAGGCCGTGTGTTGCAGTCTGTTTGAGGGTTCCAACAATAAACGAATGGTAGCATATGATTTGGTACTTCAAGTAGAAAATGGTATTTCATTTACAAATGGAAAATATGTTAATATTAAAGCTACACAATCCTTTTGCATTTTCTATCTGTATATAACACGAGCAGGTAAATGAAGATGTTAAAGACCTCAATAAGACCTTTACTTGTAACCGTACTTCCAAAAGCGGCTTCCCCCAGAGGGAGAAACCCTAATTTGTCCTAGCTGCATGCAGTTTTCAGTAAATATATTAGAATCAGTTTGACTTTCGCTGGATACAAGAATTCTTTGTACGGTCCTGACCATGGTTTCAAGTACTTATCTGCTCGTATTTCTGTCAATTTCGGGGTCCCGGCAGCTAAAACATGTTTACTTTGACGCCTAACCGATTTTACGACCTCGCTATATCGTGGCCCCGACTATATGTATTCGACGGAAAATGTGAAGGCACAGCTTATAATGAAATCAAATGAGTTACTCCGTAAGTATTAATAAGTAAATGTTGTTCAAATTGTATCGTGTTTGGTCTCATTTTAATCAGAACAATCTCGTCAATATGTTAATAACTTTTTCATACAGAAAAAGTTAAAAGTAAAAACGCTGGTGTTTAAATCGCTCGATTGCCTCGACACTCGAAAATCGTGTCTCTTCTACCCAAACTGACACCTTTCTGTTCTGACCAGAGCGACAATGTGAGAGATATTACTGTACAGTGCTTCCTCGAACAACCCGATTTCACTTATACGCAGTTTTTTTTTTTTTTTTTTTTTTCGATTATACCTTCGACGTTCATTTTGAATGAATTTACACATTTAGCATACATTTATAATTTTCTTTATCATGGCAAATAAGAGAGGTGAGAAAGAGCGAATGCGAATTCGTTTGCATGACCTAATTCTTCACAAATTGCCACTGCATACAAGAAGGTACATTTAAGTAATTACATAAATGTGCGTGTATGTGTGTAAATACATGTACATGCATTGGAAGAATATAAATGTTCTTCAGTTTTTGGTAAAGAAGGGGGGGGGGGGGGGTCCCAACAACGCGGATTTCCATCTACACGGTTAGTCGACGTCCCTAACCCCCGTGTTGATCGAGGGAGCACTGTACTTGCTTTTTGTAATAAAATTGTTTCTTTGTTTTTCATTTAGAATCGCCGATGTAGCAATATTGGATACCAGTGACGTATATACCGCTGGCCTGCGCTTCAATTTGATTCCATTTATATCTGAGGTTTACAACTTACCCACACCAGAATATTATGTTGTCGCAGTAGCGAAAGAAGAAGATGACAACACAGATCTGACTTATCTTAAAAATAAGTATACTTGTCACACGGGAATCAACACAGCTGCAGGTTGGGTATATCCATTGGCGTATCTTATTTCCAATACTTGGATCAGAGGCTACGGTTGTGACTCGGTTCGCGCTGCTGCAGAATATTTTAGTAAATCATGCGTTCCGGGCGCTCTTAGCACCGAATACAATACAGGTAATCAGAATTTTTCTGTCGATGGTCGTCACCAGTTTTATTGCATATTACCAATTTATTGCATATTACAGGTGTCCCATATGATAATATGTGCGATTTATGTCACGGTGCAAGTTTTCGTTACTGTCGCAGAGATGCGTCTGAAGATTATTTTGGATATACCGGTGCATTTAGGTGTTTAGTCGAGGGCGGAGGACACGTTGCTTTCGTAAAGCATACGACAGTCGCGGAAAATACAGATGGAAAGCGACGAGAAATGTGGGCGCGTAATACTTTTACGAAAGACTTTGAACTACTTTGCCCGGATGGTACCCGTCGGCCAACAACCGATTACATCAATTGCAATTTAGGAAAAGTGGCATCAAACGCCGTAGTTACGCGTGGTGGATACTACGATTATAACGAAACACAGATAAACGCTTACATAAACTTATTCATTTATGCCCAACAATTTTATGGCAGAAAAGAGCAGGACGAATTTAGCTTTAGTATGTTTTACAGTCAACCACCGTACAGCGATCTAATTTTTCAAGATGCTACGCAGCAATTGATGGTAATACCGCCAGAAAAGAGAGAGTTTAGCGCGTATTTAGGCCCAGATTTTATGAGAGCTAGAAGAATCGTCGATTGTAATGCTGGTGCATCAGCTATAGAGCAATCGATAGTAGCTACGATAACTATGATTATACTCACATACATATTTAGTAGATAGATAGAATATTTGATAATTATTTCCTTGACCAATGAATCCCCCCATTAAGTATACGTGTACATTCGGTAAAAAATGAACAAAGAATAGAATAGAATAAAAAAGTTACAATATATTACTTTAGAAAACGTATTTAGCTGTATCTGCTGGTTTTTTTAATCTTTGCAACTTGATGTGTTCACAAATTAATTATATTTGCAATATTTTATACATTTGTGAATTGTTAAAGGAATGGATGCGATAAAATAGCGCAAAGTTTTCGATAAGCATTAGGATTGTACTAACATTATAAAGGTATTGTATTGCTGTCTTGCGAGTTTCAGATTTTAGTCTAATCCGTCCACTTTTGTAAATTTTATATAATTATAAAATGAGATTTTAATGCATGTAATAATTTTACGTGTACCTTATGCCGTCCAACAATATTTTTATACATACTAAATAAAATACATTTATATCTTCGTAGTTGTGTCCAATATTTTTCCATTTCATTCATAGCCATGTACCAATTCCATTTCATAGATTTTCGGAATTCGTTAATTTCTTAATCCGCTTTTGTACTGTTATAAACAACCAAACAATTAATCTTAAATCGGGCAAAAAGTAATAAAAATAATAGATAAAGAATTAATAAAAATACGATTAAAGACCTAAAGACATTAACCAGAAACCTATATTCTTGGGTAACACGATTGGAGAAGAATCCTTTAATGTGGGATTTAATGTAAAATTTTTTGGTAACTTGTGTTCTTTTTTCAATTTTTTTATCTTCAATGTTTTACAGGGATAAGTGAAATTTGTTTGATTTGTCGAAACATGCGTTTCTGCAATTTTATATTTTTGCGTAGATCCGATTACCTTAATCTATCACAAATGTTCATTAGTATTATCTGAAGGGTTGTAAAATTATGATATAAAGGAATGGAATTTACATTAGAAGACCGATTTTTAAGTTCTGGTTTATCTTTTACAAATTTCGGCTGCGCTAGAATATCGATTCGCCTCAGCTTTTTCATAATTTTTCGTTTTTTTTTACGAGATTTCTGAAAATGAATATAGTACCTCATAGGTAGTTTATTTTCGGTTATTTCTTATTGTCAAATTAAGAAACTTTTGCATTTTACTTTTTTTGATTTTACATTCTTCATCGGTGAATTGTCGGCATCCTCTGCGGTATGTATGCTTTTTACTTTTCTAGGAGCACACCAGAAAGTTTTTCGTTTATTACGGTGCTTTTTGACAACAGGATTTTGCATCATTTGAATTTTTTACAAAGGAAAACTTGAAATTTTGTTCACGGTTACTGTTTCATGAATTTATCAATGAAAAAGAATTGAAGTTTGCAAAGAATCGAATTTCACGTTCGCTTGATTGTCAAACATCACCATATAACTCTAGGTAAAACCAACAAAACTTTCCGTAACATTTTTACAACTTATATCAATACTTTAACGATCAAACAAACGATATGAACACGGATGTTCTCCAGGACAATGGACCAAGGTATGAAAAACTAGCAAAACCGAAAAAAAGAATCGACAAAACCAGTAATTTCAATGCTTTCAATGTGAGTATCGTGCACATGTAACATATATATGTACGTATGAACAACAAATAATTCTCAAATGCAATTCTTTTGATTCATCTGGATACTGTAGGTAAAACGTGGAGCATTGTCGTATCAAATTACGGATTCTTTAAACAAATTAGCCCAACCAAAATGGAAAACAGGTGCAAACGTGTCTAATGAATCGAATATTAGCGTGAGCAGTTCTCCTGCAAGTACAGGTAGCCTAAACTTGAGGCGATGTATATGTTACCTGGGAATTAATTTTTTATCATGTATGTATATATTATTAGTATTATTTATCATTTTTAGTGAAACGAGGACATAAACTGATAAACAGGAACATGCACTCGAAATACGGTCTAGAAGGAAAGAAAAAGGAATTTTTACTGGACACTTATGCTCATATCACTGCAACCAGGTATAAAGGATGCTCAGAACGGTTGCGTGAACTCGCGAAGCCGAAAAATTACTCTCCGCGCACCGAGAACTACCAGGATTTTGATAATTATTTTCAAACGATCAAAAAGTATAATGGAAAGCATTTGCTTCCAAATAAAAAGATAACGTAACAAACTTTATTATGATCATATGTAATGTTAAATAAAGCATAACATTTTTCGAATATATTTTCTCATTATTTGCTAACCTTTCTTAAACGCGAACATCTGTGTCCGGGAAAACAAACGAAGATGCACCTTCTTTTAAAACCTGGCAAATGTACGTAACACAGAAATAGTTCAACTTAAATAGAAAATGAAATAGTAATGCCGAAGATGGATCATTTAACATCTTATAGAATAAAACGCGATAAGAAATGTTGTCCTTAACATTTTTATCATTCACCACCTTCGTTGATAAATCGAACATACATCTAACCTGTTTAATCAATTAAATTGGTAAGGGAAATACAAAATAAAACCAAAAAAGGAAAGAAATGGCACCTAGAGTTAGAAAAGACGTAAAGCGCACAGCTATGGAAAAAAGTCCACCGACCAAGGAACCGCCTGGGAAAGGAAGATCTAGAACAGCACCCAGTAAAAGGAGAATAAGTAAATTGAAAACTAAAGGAAGGTAAGCGATCCTTATGTTTGCGATTTCAATAATTCGGATGTATTTGAACGCCACTAATTTTTAGAAGGGGTAAAGAAAAATTGAAGCTAAAAGGATGGCTAGCTACACCGGCCGATTGGGCTCGTTTCAATGCCTGGGCAAAAATCAACGCTCAACCAAAGAAATATCTGGAACCCGAGCCTATAGTTAGTAGTACAAATATTCTTACTTGTATGTATGTACAAGCATTATATACTAGATATTTTCAGGATCGACCAGCCAAGCCATTATATGAATTAAAAAGAAGAATGAAGGTTTTGGCCGTACCCCGGTCAGCACCCGATTTAACCGTCAACTGCAGATTAGACCACACTATTTCGAAAACAGCATTGAAAGCTGTGGCTTCTAGGAGAACGTTATTGCTGGCGCTGCCCAATATAAGGCTATTCGATTTTGGAAGGGTTTATTACAAGGTCTCTCCAGCAGCCTTAAAATACGAACCGTCCCACAGGATCATAGCGCTAAGTCAGCCTCGTGTTCATCTTCCCGATGAATGTAAGCCCCCCAGGCTGTCGATGTGTGAAAGACGAGGGCTCGATGAGGAAAGATTGAGAAAATTAGCTTTGGCGAAGAAATTAGTCGATTGCCCGCAGGAATTAACCAAAGAGGAAATAGAGGAACTCTTTACACCTCAAGGTATACGCCGAAGCGCGCTTACCTACGAGGTAAATCCACATTTTTCATCCGTAAATTTTTTTCACGGAAATGGTAAGTGGTAAATAATTTTCTGGTTGTTAGGTTACACCTTGGATTGAATTTTTGTCTCTGCCACCGTACAAGAACTTAAAAGGGAGGAAGGACGAGAACGCTATAATATGGAGGAAACAAATAATAGAGGAAGGAGAGAAAAGAGGGAAAAGTGCTCTAGTTGAATATAGGGAAAAGGAAAAGGAGAGAAGAAAGGCAAAGAAGAGAAAGTGCGAGGAAACGAGAAAAAAGAAAGGTCGTGAGAGCGGTGATAGTGAAAAATTGGCGGAACTGACAGAAGAAGATGCAAAGAAAGCTAAGAAAAGGAAAATCGAGAAACACTCTTGGAGGTTCGCACCGTTCCCGCACAAAGATGATCCTTTTCGAATTAAAGAAGCAGCTTTGAATGCCCAAGGTCTGTTTACAAAACTACAGAAGTGACGTGACGTTGATTCTGATATGGATTTATACGTGTTGTCATTTGTTTCAGAATCTCCACGTACGGCAGAGTTGGCGAAATCACGTGTGCATAAAAGTAAAGCTATCAGAAGTGATGCTTTTACCGTAAAAAAGGCTGCTCTATCTGCTTCACCCTCTGCAAGAGTCGAAGCTTTGGCAAAACCATCGAGAACTCGAAGCCCTGTCGAAAAGAGGCCACCGCGAGAGAAAGATGCGTACGGAAGACCTATATTCGAGATGCCAGTAAGATAATTCGCTTTTCTTTCTTCTTTCTTCTTTTTCACAGCATTAGCAGGAAGTTTATAAAATTACCTTCAATGCAGGTTTATGGAAAAGTGTTACCTAAAATGAAGCCATATAAAATGGGCGAATGTCCGACACAAGAAAAGAAAACGATTGTTAAAAAGCGTCCAATCGATCCAATTGCTTATGAACCTACCATCGATCCCTGTATCCATCCAGACCTAGCAAAGAGACAAAAACTAGAAAGAAAGAGAACCGAGAAGTTATTGGGGAAGAGAAAAGGAAGAGGGAAACGAAGAAAAAAGGAAGAAAAATCGAAGACATCCAAGTCAGATGAAAATGCTGAACAAGAAAAAGACGAAGAAACTGATGTTACAATCGATGAAAATGAGGATGAAAAGGAATAGGAGTTGGAAAAGAAAGCAAGGTTTATCACGACAGAAATGAAACAGTAAATATGTAAAATAAAAAAGGAGAAATAAAATAATACAGCTGAAAACTCAAGAAAAACTGGTTGTTTGTGAGTCAAATGGTTTCACATGTGGTTTCAAGGTGTATTCAATACCAATTCGAGAAATAAAAATTCCTATCAATCGTATCGTCACGTATGGGAGATAAAAGTATAAATTGAAATTATAAATAAAAGTTGTTAGGTAATCGAAATATAGAAGTCACGGTTCTTATGTTTCTCCTTTCTGGTATTTCCTAGAACGTTGCATAATTTTGCGGCTATTCGATATACAATGTTTACGATAAGAAAAAATAGAAGGAAACGAGTTTTAAGTAAACAAGGAAAATACAGTTGTATATACAGATATACACTTGTTAGTAGAGTGTTTGCCAATTGAATAGTATAAATATTTAAATTTCCTATATCTATGAAATTTGTATGAAATGTATCATACTTGCGTTGTAAAACAATCATGTTATATCCACTATAATATGTATTATATGGTTACATTATAATAAGCTGCAACTGTGTTAATGTTTGGTGTTAAGATAACCTGGTCAGGTATCTTTTTTTATGATTCATACATGTTATATTTATATCTTTTTTTTCTTGTTAGCCTTTAGTGCTGTGCAAGCCTTTGATACGTGAGTAACAACTCGGTAAATTAAGAGGCTGACTTTCCTTATTCGGAAAGAACGACGACGCTTGTAAGAAAGGAGTTAACGACTGTCAAATGATAAGATGACGCTATTATGCTTGATCTTTTTTTCTATCATTGGCATCGGTAACGTTTCGTATGGTACTCTGGAACCGGAAGCGATACCACCAATTGGAAGAATCCGCGGTTCTATTTTCCGTTCAAGGCTCGGAAAAAAGATTTATTCCTTCCGTGGAGTGAGGTATGCCGAGCCCCCCACAGGAGAACGTCGTTTTCAGGTAAATCTCTCGTTCTTCCTTCAGCCGTAATTTTATTAATCCTGGAAAGATACCCGCCGTTCGTGGACATTTGTCAAACTTATCGTCAGCCTTCAACTGTGAAAACAAAGGACGCTTCTAGTATTTCCTTTTACGCGAGTATTTATGGGACACCAGTGGGAATAAATTCTGCAATTTTCTCATGATACAGGTTGCCGTTCCAGCAGCAGATTGGAAGCACGTTTTCGACGCTTCCAAAGAAGGTCCAGGATGTCCAAATTTGGACACTAGTCAACCGTCGTCCGAAGACTGTCTGCGTTTAAATGTATACACGAAGAAAGTATGTCCCATCTTTATTGAAAATTTTGTATTACCGTGTCTAAATGTTCGAATTACACGATGAATATCTTTAGAACATAATCCTTTTTTTTTCTATGTTACAGCTACCTTCGTGTCATCAGAATGTGTCAAGGCCAGTATTGGTGTTCTTTCACCCAGGTGGTTTTTACAGTTTCTCTGGTCAAAGCTCGTACTGGGGTCCTCAGTATCTGTTGGACAAAGACGTCGTTTTAGTTACTGTGAATTATCGGCTTGGTTCATTAGGTAATTCACACGAGTAGCCATTAATATTCCGATTCTGTTAATGTTTGCATTCATTTTCTGTAGGTTTCTTAAGCACAGGCGATTCATTGGCTCCAGGAAACTTAGGTTTGAAGGACCAGGTAGTAGCACTTCGATGGGTTCAAAGGAACATCGCTGCTTTCGGTGGAGATCCAAACTGCGTAACCATCAGCGGATGTAGCGTTGGAGGACTCAGCACAATGCTTCACATACTTTCTCCAATGTCCAAAAATCTATTCCATAGAGCGATCGTGATGAGTGGCTCACTTCTAACTGCAGAACCTTATCCAACTCAACAAATCGATCTTGCAAAGAAACAGGCGAGACTTTTAGGTTGCCCTACTGATAGCAGTCAGGCGATATTGAGTTGCCTCAGATCGAAACCCGTCGTGAATTTCACCAACACTTTGTCCAATTTTACGGTTAATTATTACTGTAATTATTATCAAAGAAAATTATACAAATTACCTATTGGTTGTTGAAAGTCTTTTATCGATTTAGGAGTGGAAAGGTGATCCAATTATAATATGGAAACCGGTCGTGGAATCGAAATTCCCAGGCGTAGAACAATTCTTAACAGCGCAACCCGTTGATTTGATCAAACAGGGAAAATTTCAGCAGGTACCAGCAATATTTGGGATAACGAAAGATGAATTTGGTGGAGTAGTTGTCGGTAAATCAGAATAATGATTAATTTGGATGACAATTAGAAACAAAGAACTGCTACTCGTTTCATCCTTATTTTTCTTTAGTGTTTGAGAATGCTACTAGGACAGGAGACAACTATTACCGCAACATGAGCGAGAATTGGTATCACGTTGCACCGATTAGTTTTATTTACGAACGAGACACGTCACGGTCAAAATATATCAGCACGGAATTGCGTCAATTTTATTTTAATGGCCAGGAAATTACTCCGGCTAAAAATGACGGTCTTGCTCATGTATGTGGTTTTGTCAAAGCAGTTTCTCCACAATTTCTCAGATTCACCATTTATCGTGTTAATATTTCACAGATCTATGCAGACAGTGTCATTATATTTCCCATGTATCGTGGAGCTAAGTTGATAGCTGAGAATTCTAGAAATTCGGTGTACTTCTACAAGTTTGCGTATCAAGGGCGTTATAGCTTTACTATGTGGAACAGCACGACACCATACGGTAAATTTACAATATACGATCAATTTGTATCGTCAATATTACTTTTTGTTTAATAATTTTAGGCGTGGTACATCAAGATGATTTGCAATATTTATTCTTCATCGGGTCTCTGTTCCCATATTTTGATAAAAACGCACCTGAAATTCCTATGGTGGAATTATATACATCTATGTGGTCGAACTTCATGCAGACTGGCGAACCTGTTCCTAAGCGTGGACCATACAAACACATAAAATGGGACAGGTTTGTGCCTCAGCAAAATAACTACTTGGACATCACCTTGAACCCAACCATGAAGACTGGTATCTACCCTGATAGAATGCAAGAATGGGAGAAACTCTTCCCTTTGTCCTCTGTATCACAAACTACAAGGAATTAAATAATGAATACAAGCTCTAATTTAATACATTTGTACTATATATGTATACATAAGCGTATTAACATATACATTAAAAATATAAATGTTCTTCTTTGAATTTTCCGTTTACTTTTTCAACTCTAAATTTTAATGATCTTAAAACTTTTCTACATTTTTATATTTTCACGCTGAAAAATAGAAGACAACAAATTGATATAGTATATCAGCCATGATATCATAGGAATTCTGTAAGTATTACTATTATTTATAGGCTTTTCGATATTATTTACTGAAAATTTCTGGACCTTGAACCCTCCAACACGTTTAATTGCTGAAAGAAACTTTGAGCACGTACTTGAATGACAAAATTGGGGATGTTCTTATGTAAGAATTCATAGACGATTATTGTTCCCAGGAAAATAATTGGATTTCCCCACTCGTTTTCCTTGTAGCTCTGATATAAATTCTCTTGCATTGCCCTTGAGTTCTTCAGTGCTCGCATCAGACAGCATTGAAGCGAGCATATTAGCGTTTACTCTCTTTACAAAGAAGACGGTTTTGAGAAGACCAAGATTAAGCTTCGAAATGAAAACATTTCTATTATTCCTTTTTTGTGCCATCGGCATCGTTGCTGCAAATAGTTCCTCCAGTGAGGAAAACGACCAACCACTGGTGGTTGCTCCAATTGGTAAAATTCGTGGTTCGACTTGGTCTTCCAGACTCGGAAAAACAATTTACGGGTTTCGTGGTATAAGATACGGTGAACCACCCACTGGACATCAACGATTTCAGGTGAGGAATTCTTGAATTTTTATGCCGTTGTTCACTTGTGTAAAGTAAAGTAAACGTGGGCAAAAACGGCCAGACAAAGTACTTACATACATGTCGAACAATACGTTAAGGAGGCTTTCCGTTTCAGTAATAAGTAGTATACGTATACACTGACACTCATAAAACTCGTGAATCACAGTTTATAAGCCAACATACAGATAAACTTTTTGACACGTTGCGATATCCAGTTCAGTTATAAATTGCACAGTATTTTTTCCTTTAATAATTAGTATTATTTTTACCTTTTGACATTCTCTTTATTTCATTTCTACGTATAAAAAAAAGTTCATTTCGCATATGCATAGCCTCCAATCCCTGCGAAAGATTGGAAAAATGTTGCCGATGCTTCTGAAGAAGGGCCCAGTTGTCCTTACCCTGAAGGCAAACATATATCGGAAGATTGTCTACGTTTAAACGTATACACTACCAAAGTAAGTATCTAGCAAATACATTTGATAGTTATTCAAATTTTTTAATATAAATTTTCATTTTTATTTCCAGCTGCCTTGCGAACGCGAAAATGTATCGAGACCAGTTATGGTGTTTATACATCCGGGTGGCTTTTACGGCTTTTCAGGGCAGAGCGGAAATTTCGGGCCAGAGTATCTGATGGATCAGGATATCGTTTTGGTTACTATTAACTATCGTATTGGAAGTTTAGGTAAGATTGGACAGATCGAACAAACAATTATGCTGTAAAAAGTTAATCCACGAGTAAAAATGTTGTGCAGGTTTTTTGAATACGGGTGAAAATTTGGCACCAGGAAATATGGGTTTGAAAGATCAGGTGGTAGCCCTTCATTGGGTTCAGAGGAACATCGCTGCTTTTGGTGGCAACCCAAATGCCGTCACTCTGTGCGGCTACAGTGCCGGAAGTTTTAGTATAATGTTGCATATGGTGTCTCCGATGTCCAAAAATTTGTTCCACAGAGCTATCACGATGAGTTCTTCGCCTTTCATTTCAGAAGTTTACAGTGCTGTTTCGCTAGAGGGACAAAAGCAGCTTGCCAAAAAGCAAGCTGAACTATTAGATTGTCCCACTGATACGACTGCTTCTATGATGCTCTGTTTGAGCACGAAACCAGTAGAAAACTTCACAAACACATTGGGCTCCTTATTTGTACGGTTAAAATAGTAATAGTAAGATCTCGTACGGAAAATAATCGTATTTTAGAAATATTAATTTGAATGTTTGATGACAGGACTGGAAAGGAAACCCGATTCTACTTTGGAAACCCACTGTGGAACCGGAAGCTCGCGGTGCCGAGAGATTCTTGAGCGAACATCCCTTCGACTTAATCAGACAAAGGAAGTTTCAGCAAGTTCCTTTAATCCTTGGATGTACTGAAGAAGAATTTGGTGGAGTAGTTTCGTGTAAATATTTCCTTATTAAGGTGTTATCCTTCGTAAATACAACAATTTTATTACTTTACTATTTTACCATGTATCATAGTTTACGAAAAGGATGCAAAACTTGGCAATGATTCCCTATATCGTGAATTAAATGATAATTGGCAAAGACTCGCTCCGATTATATTCATGTACGAGCGTGACACGCCTCGATCGAATTATATTAGCAAAGAATTAAGGCAATTTTATTTCAAGGATCAACCAATTAATTCAGCTACCAGTGAACAGCTTGAAAACGTGCGTAAAAAAATGTTTTTTCTTTTCTTTTCTTTTTTCGTTCTAAACAATTTCTCTTTCGAATGAACGCGTTTAAATAATTGTTAAACATTTTTCAGATATACGCTGATGCTATAATCATCTTTCCCATGTACCGAGCAGCCAAATTATTCGCCACATATTCTAAACAACCGGTGTACTTTTATAAATTTACGTATTCAGGGCGTTACAGCTTTTATACGTTCAACGACACTACAACATACGGTAAAATTACTTATTATTTATTTATTTAATAGTTTATAAGTTACATTTACCTTGAATTTTTATTAAATGCTTCAGGCGCGGCGCATCACGACGATTTGCAGTACCTTTTCTACATGAAGAATTTCTTCCCGTATTTCGAGAGTGACGCACCTGAAATCCCTATGGTAGAAATCTACACATCCATGTGGTCAAATTTCGTGGAAACTGGCGAACCGATACCTAGGAACAACAACATGTTGAGAAATGTAAGATGGAGCAAATACGTTCCATCTCAAACCAATTTCTTGGAAATTAATGTTCATCCCGTTATGAAATCTGATTTCTTCCCTGAAAGAATGAGAATATGGGAAAGACTGTTCCCCCTCACCGGTGCTTCAAACTCAGTAAAGCATTGAACTTACGTATATTTTCGACGAAGTATTATCAAGCGAATGTAATAGAAACGAGTAGAAAATTGTATCATTTCTTCTCCAAGTAGAACATATTGGTGTAATAAAATCTAAGAAAAATGTTTATCATTGTTTTTATTAATATCGTACCATATAATTTAAATATAACACATTCGTGCAAAAAATCAAAAGAAAGTTGAAAGTTTTATCAATGCGACACGAAAGGTTCGCGATTTTTAAGTACACGTTAAAAAGGATTTATCTAAATCTTCTTTAAATCTTTGGATCCGACGACTGGAGCTTCACCATGGATTCGCTAAGTTCCCAAAACTTCTTACCCTTTGACGGATCCTTTATTCCACGAGAAAGTACCTGTTCCTAGATTTAAACGATTTCGTTTTGGTTTAAAAGATTGGACACTTGCTGTTCTCAGCAAAACTTTTACCCAAGAAATACTGCTTACGTGACAGTCCATGAAGTATTTGCCGGAAAATCCATTGACATCGTCTGAAACAGCGAGGTGTATGGTTGTTTGCGCGCCTTGTTCAGGCGTTTTGCAGAAGGTGTTTAGCGCAAAATTTAACACCCAGGAGAATGGGGGCGGAACGTTCTTCCAAATTCCAGTACTCATTAGTCCAGGATGAAGGCAATTGGCAGTTACACCAGAACCTTCGAGGCGTCGTGCTAATTCTAACGTGAAAACTATATTTGCGTATTTGGATACATAGTACAAATATCCAGGCAATGTGGTCGTAGGATTAACGTTGTTCAGATTTAACCTGGCTAAAACGTACAGCCCTGATGCGACGACGATTATTCGACTTGGTTTCGATTGTTTTAGCAAATCTGTAAAATTGTGATTCTTCAACTCGCTGACACTTTGAAATGACAGCATAACAAAAACTATGAAATGAAAGGAAAATGATTCTCGCACCGATCAACAGATGCGTCAGTAAAAATGGACCATAATGATTCGTTGCCATTGTCATTTCTAGGCCATCATCGGTGACCTTCTTCCTGAAAACCTCTGCAGTTCCTGCGTTGTGAATTAACACGTCCAGCCTGTTCTCTTCACGATTTATTTGCTGCGCAAATTTCCTCACCGAGGAAAGCGAAGATAAGTCGAGTTTTCGAGTAACGATATTATTATTTCCAGATTCCTTTATTAGTTCCTCTACGAAAACAAGTTTTTTGTTTACATAATAAGCCTCAGGTAGCTCGGTTTTTGCGAAAATAATGATGCGCTTGAGATGGAAGTATAAAGAAGAAGAAAAGAAGAAGAAGATTACTTTTTTAGATCATGCGATAGCTCATTTCTCAGAAATTTACATTTAATAACAGAATGACGTATCAAACGGAAGGTATTGCAATTATCAATGGAAGTGACCTGGGAATATTTAATGATGTCTATAATGCAAACGCAAACACCTTGCTTGCTTAACTACGGCATACATTTGCAAAGGTTATTATAACTTTGTCTGTAATTAACCGTATTTATATTCAGTCGGTAATGGATCGTTAAAATTTCCTCTTGTACAAGGCGACTGAACCGTAATGATATTTACAATTTAATTAAATTTTCGCTATTCGATAATTGCAAATAAGTCAGTTAATTACAGCCAGTGTTTAATTCTCCCGAATTTTGAATGCAGGATATTTATTAGAAATAGTAGAATTATTGAGATGAACCTTTTAATTTGTTCGCAGTCTCCATATTTCGACAGGCCATGATCACTCTTGCGCCTCTTTTTGCGATGTCCCTCGCGGTCTCCTTCCCAATACCGGAAGTGCATCCAGTTATTATCACAGTTTTCCCATCCATTCTGTTCTTGCTCTTGCAAATTCCCAAGGTGTATTGAGCGTAAAAGTAGACCGCTAACAGGAACAGAAGCACGACGAGTAACGCGGCTGCAGCCAAGTAACACAGCGTCGTGCAAGGCACGATCTTCAGTAACATCATCTAAACGGATGGTAGGTGTATATGGTACATGACACATTGTGCATTTATTTTATTACAGTGAAAATTTCTTAACAAAATGACATAAAATATAGCATGCAGATTTACTAATTTCAAGGTAATTAATAATTGCATAAAAGTTAGCTTCGGATCTTGAAAGTATGTATACATGTTTCGTTAAAAGTGGTTAATTTCAAAAATCCTTTCGAGGATTTCGTATATAAGTACCTAACTGTTTTTTTTTTAAACCAGCTGGCATTGAAGTCTCTCGTATATACGAAGGAACGCTAGTATTGTAGAAGGTCGATGACCGTGAACATGAGTCGTTAGAGATATCGGACACCGACGTTCTACCTGACCGAATAACTCATCAAATGAAACGGACACAACGCATTCTTAACCACAATATTCAGAATAAATGATTATAAAATATAAATTATATGTATGCATCCTGAAAATAATTTGATCATGGATACCAGAATAAAATGTAAGGTAACCTGGTTGTTTTGTAGGTTAATTGCACACACCTGATGTCATGATGACCTTATTATGAGGGTAAATATTAGTAATCATTATGGTAAATAGCGTGAAGAGTGCAATTTAATTTAAGTATCATAAATTTCACTTAGAGTGCTATAAAGTTTCACAATATTTTGTTAATTTACATTCCCAGCAAACAGTTTCGCGGAACATGTTACATATTTATGTTAAAACAATGAATAATTGTATTTATTAGCAGATGGAAAAAGCCTTTGCACAATTTTGTTCGCGGTAATACAAAGAATATTAATGTCATTGTAGTCCAATGAGAACGACAGGTAGTTGAATTTCAAAAGAGCAGCGTAAAAAGTGTCAAGCGGTGAGAAGTCGGCAGAAAAATTCTGTTAATTTAACGTTGAATTATACTCACACCAGTTGCTACTAAATTTTTATTCAAATTGGTTCGAGGGTCCAGGCACTAGCACGCCTTTTCTGCCGGAGTGTTGCTTCTATACTACATTGCAATACGTGACCCTGCACCAAGTATCTCCCCACTCTCTCCTCGTAGAGAACGGTGACGAGAGATAGAGAGAGAGTGGCTTTTACAAACCTTAATGTCAAGTTTCCCGTAGTCTCGTCCTGAAAAAGAACTTGTTATATTTTTCAATTCTGTGTATTTTACATACGAGTGCACGCGTTCACATAGCTAGTCCATGTCAAGTGTTTCTTTTTTGCTTATGATGTCGAGTGCAGTCAAACAGTATACGTTTTCGTTTCGTTGTCTTTTCAGATTAATAAGATAATTTTGGAAAGAAATTTTCGGATTGAATCGCTTACTGTTTTCTAGTCTCTATCTTTAAATACTAGTTACATTATGGCACAGTGTATAGGTTCCTCAATTACTAAACGTTGCATATCGATGATTATGAAAATGCCTCATTATTTCCTCCATTTATTTTTTTTCGCGGGTATCCTTATGGGAGATTTAGACTCGTAACCACGAGATAATGAATTCTAATCAACACGATAATATTTATCAGGCTTAATTAAAGTTACGATAAACTAACTGTGAGCTTAATATCCTATTCGGTGGTTAAATTTACATATTTTCGGTGAAAGTTTTCCTGCTTCGCTAGCACTATTCGTTTCAAGACAATTAAATGTGAACAATTTACAAGTAACAGAAAACTGTTTTCTTCACTTAAATTTTTTATCTTTAGGCGATTAGTAATTAAAACGACAAATGTTCTGTTTATCGTTCTATGGTAACGATATTTATTTAATATCGTGGATATTATTATTCCGTTTTTATATTTTCTCGAACATTTTTAATTTGAGTATTGTTCGTTTAGTTTTTCACAAGTTGCTAGGATTCCGCAGCGTTCTGCAAGATCTGCGACGTTAGGTTGGATATTCACAGGTCTTTCAGCTTCATCACGCTCTTAAGGTACGTAATCTTGTGAGTTAAAGAGCAGATAATATCCTCCATCTCACGGATTTCTTGAATCCATTTCATGTAAACAGGATCGAGAACGGCATCTTCCACATTGATATTCTCCGATGTTCCTTGCGCTCTAGTCGCCTGGGTATTTTCCTGCACTTTAACAGACAGGTCGGGAACTTTTCTTTCGAACAAATTCATTATGTACGTATGTATACACACGTAATAACAACTTACACAAATTTCTAAAAGGATTTTTTAATCGAAGGTTTGGCAATATGCTTGGAAAATAGTTCCAGATGCATAGCCAATTTATTAGCCACTTCAAGACAAGGTAAAATCTCTCTTTGGCGAGTACAAATATTGATCTCTGATAATTAAGGGACTTGAGAGTCGATCGGTTAACAGGAGGTGGCATTAAACTTTTTGACAATGTATTATTCATACTGTGCTCGTCTATTTTTCCTAAACAAAATATTATACAATTTAGAGATGATTGATTTATGATTGATTTATTATCCTATTCATTTATTACCCTCTTCTATAGAATCATTTTCTTTGTCATTGTATGTCAGATCTTGAGATTTCTGATGCTCAGAATCTTTTGAAATTTTCTTTTTTAATTCTAACAACACGTGTTCAGCAGTTCCAGGTTGACAGTTTGCTAACTGATGGATCACATCTTTAGTCAATTTCATATTAATTTTACTCAGTACTTTTCGATTCAATATGTTCCAATTTTCTTTTTTTGCAGTTAAACTATTAACTGGCACGTAATTATGAAGATCGACGTAACGGGGACAATATAATTTAAGAATTTCCGCCATTATTACTAAGGAACATATCAATTACTTATGCATATACTTTATGTAAAGCTGAGAAAATGTTTGTGAGTAAAAGGAATTCATAATAAAGAAGAACTGTTTCGTAAGGCAACTCTACCGGCATCTGAAAAGTCTCTAGTTAAATTCTTTGTTGGTTTTGAAAGTGGAATCCCCGAGATCCATGTATATAATTCTTCTAATTGATTTTCTGAATTTTCCACATTTTTATCAGCCATTTCTGTTCGTTCGAAGAATTTATTAGTACAATCGTAAAAATTGTCATGAAATTGACGTTTCCTTTACTTGAAGTTGGACATTATATTTTTCCAGCGATATGGAATAAATTTTTTATTTTGTTTATTTAATAACATTAATTAAATAGATGGAAATACAACATTGATAAAATTTTATGCGTTACGATGTAATTTTAACAAATTTCTCTGCATTCATAGTGTACATACGTACAGTAAAATTAATTTAAAATCTGTAACTATAACTCTGTGGTTGTAAAAATGTTCCTAGTGTCGTTCTTTTGTTCCGGCAAGTTGTCAAACCTTTCACTGAAAAGTTCGTAGTATTTAGTAACCTGTATTGTTGCAAAGTAATTGTCATGGCTTCGGAACGGTATAGTTTTTCGTTAACAACTTTCAGGTAAATGTGTTGTTTATTCCTTATTAGAATTTTCACAGTTTTAAACTTAATGTTAATATTACGTCGTTCATTCCATACAATTGAATAAATTATTAGAAGTTCTCTAACATGATCTGGCAGTAAATTACTTGTATCAGTATACACAATGTATCATTGAATATACATTAAAAAAAGACTGAATTTCTTATACAATACGTTTTTTATTTGAAACCAACTGTAAGGACTAATAATTATATAATTTTGTATTGAGAATGAATTGATTTCATTGGAGCATACAATGACTCGTCAGTTACTTCTATGAGTAATTATCTAAGTGCAACAAACAATTTACTTTATTTACACAGCCCATCTGGAAAGCTAGTCCAGATCGAGTATGCTTTAGCAGCTGTGGCTGCTGGAGCATCTAGCGTTGGCATCAAAGCATCAAATGGAGTTGTTCTTGCTACGGAGAATAAACACAAATCTATTTTGTACGATGAACATAGTGTGAAGAAAGTAGAAATGATTACAAAACATATTGGGATGATATATAGTGGAATGGGTCCAGATTATAGGTTATTAGTAAAACAAGCACGTAAAATGGCACAACTATATCAGCTTGTTTACCAGGAACCAATACCTACTGCACAGCTGGTACAAAGAGTTGCCATGCTTATGCAAGAATACACGCAATCTGGGTACATGTCTTTTAAATTACTGTTCAATTCACTCTTTATTTATTGTAATTAATCTATTGCAAAACTACAATCGTAGAGGAGTCCGACCTTTTGGAGTATCTTTGCTAATTTGTGGCTGGGATAACGGCAAACCATATCTATATCAATGTGATCCTTCTGGTGCATACTTTGCGTGGAAGGCCACTGCAATGGGTAAAAACTTTGTAAATGGAAAAGTGTTTCTGGAGAAAAGATACAGCGAGGATTTGGAATTGGACGATGCTGTTCACACTGCCATTTTAACGTTAAAGGAAGGATTTGAGGGTCAAATGACAGCTGATAATATAGAAGTTGGTATTTGTGATGCGAACGGCTTTAGAAGATTGGATCCTTCCAATATTAAGGATTACCTTGCTAATATCCCTTAATTTTAAGCTATTTTTATGTCACACTGTTACAGTGATTTTCACATGGTTTAAGAGACAAACACACTAGATGCTTATAATAAAATTTTTCGTCGAAAATAAAATTGCTACTTCTTTATTTATATAACATTTATCGAAAAGACTTTTCTTTACCTTTAAAGTATCTTTATTTATCCTCGTTTAAGAAAATTTTAAGTATAAATTGTAAGAGATAACCTTAACACGTTTATTAGGTTGGTTTTTTGAATGTATGCGCGGTTAATATATTTTCAGTCGGTAGAGCGCGCCACAGACGTTCATGTCGGTTGGGCGCGATCGTGCGCGAATGCGAACGAATTTTCGTAGTTGGTGCGCGGCCGGCCGGCTGGTTTGTTTCGCGTGTTGCTTTGTGCTGTCAGTTTTTGGTGATTGTTAGTGTTAATAAAAATCGACCAGAACACGTGTCGGCCTCGTTAGGCTGTCTGTCAACGGATGTGCGAAGGTAAGTTCACAGTTGACAGATGTTGAAGTGTGTTTGATTTCACGATGCTCACGTTGGCACGCACAGCAAACTGTAGCTCATCGCGATATCGATGTGTCCTGTATTCTTATTTTCAATGTTGCACGTATCATTATCGAACTCTTATTTTTGCACGCGTTAATTTATGCATAATTGTAATTTCAATACATAACGCGTTGTAATTTTGGTAACTATAGCATGTTGAGACGCGTGTTCGTCGCGTTGCCGATTGTTTATGTCGGCCATTAGTCGCGATCGGACGCGGAAGTATTTATTTACCATGTATGCTGATTCGTTCGCCAAGGACGCTTCCCTTTACAAACATTCCTCGCGAAACGTTTTTCATCCTACAGATAAAATCTGACGATATCAGAAGTTTCCCAAAGTCAAATAATACATACACATACATATGCATACGTATATCGAAAGATCGTTACAGATTTGCTGAGCCGCTTGAATAACGAATCACGCGTTTTGAAAAGCGTAGATGTCGCTAGAATTATTATATCAATGGTTGTGCTGTTTTCTATCGACATTCAATTTGATCTGAATTGGTATGTGAAGAGAAAAGAAATAGAGAGTATACGAATGGTTCTTAGATTAGTTTTATAAGTACACATAAACTAAGGCACGGTATATTTTCAATTTTTAAGCGCGTTTGTTTTCATCCTTATTTCAAGCGTAACATTTCATCGGTTTATGAGGTAAAAATTCGCGTTTTCAGAGGCAATTCGTGTGACTATAATAATTCGAAATCGCTAATCCCCCCCGATCTTCCCTCTGCCTATACCTATCTCTCTGTCTCTCTGTTACCGAGCTTCGCTCCTCTTTTTCCTTCTAACACGCTTTCCCGACGTCATCTGCATTGGAGACGAACAATACCAGACTTTAATACGACGCATCCGCAGACGCGTTTCCACGACTAACTGTGGCATTCATTTACTGCTGCTCGAACACTATTTCCACGTTGGTACTTGAAGATCTTCGCGGACAATCATAGTCATCCACGTAGAGAGGGATGGAAAGAAAGAGAGAGAGTGAGGATCGCGAAGACGATGGCTTCGCTGTGCTGGTTGCACAGTTTGCAATTTTAATGTCGGCATTACAAGAGGCCAGTCAGCCCTCCCCTTCCGGGCCGGCGAAAGCGCTGAATTTACATTTCCGCTTTTGCGGGAAATCGCGAGCGTGCCGATGTCGCTTATTAAAAATCCTAAAAAGCCATCGAGGATCCCCTCGTGTATTTCTCAGCTTTGTCTCGGTCTATCGGACACTTGCTCTCCTCCTCTTCTTCGCCCTAGTGTCTTCGAGATGCTGCACCTCCAGTTCAAGTCGCGAATGTTCTCTTAATTGTTTTGATTTCTACAGAAATTACACTTCCTTTCCATGTGGACGTAAACGAGTCGCATGGTCCCCCGAATTCTCGCATCTGTCGCGCCGTGAGACGCAATTAGTTGCGGACGTCTTTTCGCCCTTTTGCACCCTTTTCTTTATGCAGAGCCACCGGCTGAACTCTGCACGCGGAACGACGCGATCTGGGAGTGAAATTACACGCAGGCTAATTGCGACTTTGGTATGCGCGACGCGATCCCCTTAGACAAAAGACGCGGGCGACGTTTGTTAACACATTTGCGATCGTATCTGTGCTTCTTAGTTTCTGAAATACTCTGAATAATCGGTATTGCGATCAACATAGTAGCAGAACGACCATTATCCCCTTACCTATAACGGCGACTGTTGTAAATCGCTGTACTAACGGTGCCTATAGTCGTTCTATAATCTGATAGCAGTACCTGCTAACTTTTAGTAGGTAGTATGTATTACGAGGAAAGTGAGATATTATTTGAAATGAAACAATGCAAACGATTCGCAGTAAGCATATCGTGTACGATTTGCGAGTCGATAGAACGAAAGGAGCTTCCCAAGTAGGAAGCAGAGCTTCGATCGTTCCGCTTTTTTCCTTCGATGTTAGTATTCAAAGGTATATACGTATAAGGCTGCGTATATACTTATCGCGGTGTATCTACCTAGCGAAGCAAGTTCTTCAACTATGCCAGCGTAGTTGGTATCCGAGGAGCTCCGGCTTAAATAATCGTGCGGTTAGTTCGATAACGATCATTCGAACTCCTCTCGTTACGGTTATAGCTCGCGATATCAGGTATTCGCTGTTTATTTGACACGCGGCCTGCATTGTACCGACTGCCAATATCGAATAAACGTACAAATGGGAGGCTGTTACCCAGACGTGTCCGACACTCGGACTCTCGTAACGCAAAGTGGAATATTTAGGCCACGCCAGCCGAGGATTCGTCATCGATATTTGCCTAAGTGGGCTGTTGAACATCGAGAACCGTTCGCTAATTGAGTAATTAGGCGATCTTCGCACCTTTTGCCATTTAGAATAATCGAAATAAAAACTTCCAAACATTTTTCAATGTTTGTAAAATTAGCTACTTTCATGTCTTTTTTGGAAATTATCCACGGAATTCACTATTAAACCTTCGTTCACCCTCTAGAGTTCGATTCGTAGAGTCAATCTCAGGTCGCCTCCTATCTTCGGTCTCTTAATCGTTCGTCTGCGCAAAAAAGTCGCAAAGTCA